CCCTCAGCCAGGGTCAACCCACCACAAAATGTCATATAAATAAATAAATACATACCTTTGGGAGGAGGTTTCTTTTCAGCTTTTTCATGCCTTTCAGGTTTCTCTTTTTGAATTACTAGAAATGAGTACAATTGCATATTAGGAAAAAAATGACAAAGAATGAGAAAATACTGCTAAACCACAGTAACATCCCTGGAAGTTTCATGTTTCTTCACAACTCCTGTTTTTCGGTTTGCAAAAATCTTGCTTCTTTTTCTCAGGTTCACACACTGGGTTAAAAAGCTTCAAAACATCTGTTGAGACTCACCTAAGACAAGGCAGTCACACAGATCTGAAGCTTTGTAGGGAATGTATATACTACATATTCCAGATGACACAAACTTGCTCTGCTCAAGCTCTGAACAGACATGGGCCTGATCTTGTGCTCCAGCCAGCAGGAAGTCATGCGACTACATTCGTCTTACAGGAAAGGGTTTTTCTTAGCTTGGGCTCACTGTCATACAAACACAGCCACAAGCCTGATGCTCACTTCAGAGCCCAGCTTGGGTGAGTTCATGTCTGCACAGGATACACTGCGTAAACACACACACTGCTATGTCCCAGAAAGGCTATCCAAATTTTATGGAGAGACTTCTACCTTTTCTCTCTTGGTTGCCATCCAGACACATTGCTGAAACAAAACAGCCTTGAGAGTTAATTACACCTCTTTCAAGTGATAACTACATAACAGCAACATTCTCTCTAACTGAATTCCAGAGTGCAATTGCTGCCTGTATGAACCATGATTGTTATGTAGACTTTTTTCTTTTTCTTTTTCTTTCTTTCTTTTTTTTTTTTTTTTAAGATAGCTATTTCTTAGATGATGTGTCTAAATAGCATTCATATCACTGAAGCTTTCTGGAGCCTTTAACAGGGGCTTAAGAAGTACCCTATGTCTTTTCATTGAGGGTAGTGGAAATCTCCTGACTGTGGGGGAAGTAGCCACCTGATTTTCAGTACTCCTGTTCCCTGAAGTTAGCCTGGACCTGAGCATCCTCATTTCCTAGGGACTGCAAGTGGTTGAAATGGCCCCTCAGCACTGCTGGTAGCTGATCCAGTCTAGAACAGACCCCAGACAAAAAGAAGGCGAGCCCAGCAATGGATAGCTCAGCACACTGCCGGCAGAAACGTGCCTTCTTAGGGAGCGCAGAAGGCAACGAGTGCCCTACTGCACTGGCTCTACCCATAGGGACTCACATGGCATGGGAAGTCTTCAAGAAAGGGTAACATGTCCATATGTCATATTGTAGCAGCAAATTTCCCTAGCTACAAAGTGGCCAAATTCTTCATAAAATTTTCCAGCCAGTGACTGGAGTCGTGGCTGCTATTAAACACATTAAAGCTCTAAGTGATTATTTGGTTAGCTAGCAGAAGATAAATGGGTAAACAGACTGGCTGCTCATTAGGAATATCTATCTCAGTGATTCTTGGAAGTTGTTTGCTTTTCAAATCTACACAGACACCGTGGGCATTTATTTTCTCTGGATTACTTTAGTGTGATTTCACTTTATTAAAAAAAAACAGTTATACACTGAAAGTAGGAAAAATGACCGAATATCCCTTTTAAAGAGAGACTGAACAATGGCTGCCTTTCAAAGTCTTTTAGGGCTTGAAGTCTTCCTTCCACTTTTTCTCTTTTTTCACTCTTCGTGTTTTACATTTCTCCTTAGAGTAAGGTCAAGTCCAATAAAGACTGATTTGTACATTTGAATCTATATCGTCTGAACAGATTCAAATTAATTCCTGTGTCCCATCATTGTCAGATTAATCTGAATGCCATAACAGACTGACATTGAGATACATTGCATAGGGTTGGGGTTCTTTTGAGAGTTGACTGAGTAAAAGTAAGAAGAGACACAGGCTGAGACCAGCCCAACTTCATTATAGAAATATTTGGATTTCAAAAAGCAATGCATGAAAAAAAAAAAAAAAAGAAAACTTCAGAGCAAAACCATTCAAATGCCAAGCAATAATAAATGTTAGTCTTTAAAAATAGCATAACAGGGCAAGCTGATTGGATTTTTAAATCCCCCTGTCCAAGTCATGGCTAAAAATGGAATTATCAGTCAGAAGAATACGGAAAATCATCTCTCATACACGATATTGCTTCAGAATATATATGATAATTAGTAGATATGTAAATCTTAACCACAGACACTTCTGCCACGGAAGAAAGTACAAATCATGTATTGAAATGAACATGTTATTGCAAAAAAGTGAAGGCAAGAAAATGAAAATCTATTTTTGGTTATGATAGAAGACCCAGACTGAGAGTTAGTAAACACTCTCGCTTTAGGTCTGCACTAGATATTGAAAACTGATACACAAGAGAAAGCTTTTTTTGCAGGCAAATTACTGAATCCCATTGTGGACGAAAACACATCAAGGAATGCAAATATAACAGTCATAGGCTTATTTCTTTAGCTGCGTAAGAATGATTTATAATTACCTCTGTGCATCAAAACAAGAAAACTAAGCAAGAAATATGTGCTCAGCAAGATCCCACTCAGGGGCTCATCAAGACCTGCTCAAGCAAAAGTGCGAGTAGCCAGAAAATGTACAGTGTGGACTAGAAGAGCTTTATACTTTAAATATACTTCTTCACACTCTCCCAAACTATGTAAGCACTTAAAATCTAAAACTGTACAACATCTAATACTAATCTGCATTACCTTTAGGAGGTGATTTCTTTTCATGTTTTTCTGGCTTTTCAGGTTTCTCTTTGTGAGTAGCTAGAAATAAATAACAACATTAATGGTTATTAAAAAAGAGAAATGTTGCATTTTAAGTGAGAAAAAGAAGAAAAAAAGGAGAAGAAACAAAACTGGGCACCATGGCTATTCTTGCAAAGAACCAGAAAGATTGATTCAGCTGCTACTGTCTGCTGTTGATGCCAAAACACGTGATTTGAACTTTCAAAACCTCATCTACCATCCCTGAGGTCTCTGCCCTCAGTTGGGGGGAGGAATGGCCTTTCTGGCACAACTGTAATCGCATTAAAAAAGTTAGTCAAGAAGAGTCATGCTTATTTATGTTGTTTACTGGTTCATTTTGTTTGTTTTGTTTATACTGTCATTTATTGGTTTATTTTGGTTTATTGTTATTTTTGATCTTTCTTGTTTATTACTTTGGTTCATTTCTGAAGGATTTTCTGAACTCCGCATAACAACTAACAGTTTTTCCAGCTATGAATGATTAAACACTATAATTAATTACAAATCTAATTGCAATGGCATTATAACTAATGCTCTTTGGGGCTTTTTGTTTGCTTTTAATTTCCACTTTACAAATTGAAATACAGTACACTATAGTGACTAGATTTCTGGCTCAGGTTTCAGAATACACCTGAGTTCTGAAATAGTCACTGAGTGGTGGGTAGTCTGGAATATTCTCCTATGTGGGTTCTGATTTGTTAATTTTTTGCGATTAATGTTTACACAGTAACTTGTCTGTGGGTGTGCAGAACTGATATTTATATGTGTTCATGTCCCCTAAGGGACCCTACAGGGACCAGCGTGTGAAAACACTCAGCTGCCTTTTTGACTCTGGCATATGAATTTACGGTAAGAACACAAAAATGTATGCAAAAGCATTGCTATGTACTCTCCAGCCTTGTTTTGGTGTTTCAAAAGAAAGTAAGAATTGTGGAAGATAAAGCAGTGCTGGATACCTATTTATTGCAAGTAACTACTTAAAGAATTAGTCCTGCCCTGTGCAATGCCTATACAACAGCACTACTCAGTATTGCATTTAAAATATTTTATTTCACATGGCCTGCCTCATTACCTTTGTTTACAGGTTATCAGGTGTTTTTCCTGAATGACCATATTCTCTTAGCTACCATACTTACTTTGAGTGTTGGAAATACTCAGAGAATATACTAATCCAGAGTATAACATATTATCTCCCTTCCTCAGAAAACCCCAACAAAACAACAAACATGCAGAATGAATACAAAATGCTACTCAGTCTGTACGTCTGCAAACCTTTATATGATGTCATGATTTTTATTCATAAAGTTCTATAACACTTTTTCCAATCAAGGGGATACATAAATGGAAATTGAGTAGACAACTAGTTCTGGGGTACCTAAAAATGTAAAATAAGTTCTGACATTAAATCATTACCTGCATGCCTTTCCTTTTTTTCAGGTTTTTCTTGTCTTTCTGGTTTGTCTTTATGTGTCACTAAGAAAGAAGAAATTTGTTCATATATATATATACAAAACTGTGGAAAAACTTAAGAATCAGAAATAATTCTACCAAGATAAGTCTTAGGAGACAAAATGGCAAACTGTGAGTTACTCTTGCGCTATCCTGTGCATATCTGCACAGCATCCATCATATCACATGGGTGGGAGCAGACAACTCTGGCAAAGACGTTACTGCTTACCATCCAAGCCGTGGTAACATGCCTCAGCCGTTTACTGCAGTAACACCATTGCTTGCAATTGTCTGTCCATTTTTCAAGAGAGGTTTTCAGAAAACTGTGAGGACTAAGGCAGAGCTCACAGTAAATGCTGCTGCCTGCACTGGAAAGAGGACGTCACCTGGACCACCCCACACTCTGTCAGGCAGAGGTTTGTAAAAACCCTGGAATCAGTCCTGGATCATAAGAGCATCACATGCACAAATGACACATCTGTCACTTGCCAGCTGGCTTGAAACGGATAACCAGTAATGGATAGGGAGAGCTAGTAATGGATACAGATAGCTAGTAATGGACACTAGCTGAGATCAGTCCCTGGCAATGATGATCTCAGAGCCATAATTAGATGCCCAGTATGTGCAAAGTAAAAACTAACACTATGACAGTGGGAACTGTATTATGCTATCCACTCATTCACATAACATTTTCCACTCACTTTTCTAAGGATTTTACACAATAATTTTCCAGACAATGGGAAATAAACATGTGTATTTTAGAGCACTTCAAAAAAATCAGCTGTGAAACTGCAAGCTAGCTTTAACTCCAACTCCTGTGGAGATTTCATCCCAGTATAGTAAAACTCCCTTTGTCAAACATTATAAAATAAGTTCTTTTACAGTCCAATGAATTTCATATCTAACTGGAAGCAAGAGAAGAAGGGTAGGGAATATTCAGGCTCTCACATTTTTTTAGCAATATAGTGATGAAATACGTGAGAATGAGTTCCTAACGTAGCTGATTGAGTCACTTCAAAGTGACTGAGACACTTCTAATCATTCTCTGTGTCATTAGGTAACTTTCCTAAGCTTCATCACAGAAGTTGATTAGAAATTAGAATAAGATGTTATTTACTCTCTCCATTATCTAAATCTCAAAAAGGGAATGTATTTAAAGTAGAAAACAAGCAGTTAAAATACAGGGCTGCAGTGAAACTTTAGAGTCTCCCAGTCACACTACAATGAAATAGGTCATCACACATATCCATAGTTTTAAAATATAATGTACAGTCCGAAAGCAATGTTTCTTAGTACTGCGAATACAGAGAATCTCTATATGCAGTAGTGTTTTAGTTGCAATTGTAGCAATACTACACTAAAAAACCCTAATACACTCACTATTAGATAAAATACAGTTAGGCAGATAGATTATTAGTAGGAGTTATGACAAGTTAAGGCAGTATAATAATTCTTATTCTTCTTCATTTGTTATCTGAGATTGGCTGGGGCCATTTTTCCTGTTCTAAAAAACTTTTAAAAACATTAAATATTGTTCTTCTATCAAATCAAATTGAAGAGTTTCCCGAGTTTTCCACAAAATAACAGGAGACATTTAATAACAAATTTATGTTTTAATACGGGACATTCTAGTCTTTGCTCTGTCATTTTTCAAAATCTCAGAAAAAAATTCTTTTCTAACCACAATTCCATTTTGTATTGATAAATATTCATTCTAACAGAAACCTGAACTTACGTGCCTGCCATTAACTTCTAGAGTCAGTCTTGCTAACTCAATGTATTTTGAATTATTTATATAAAATGGAAAAGCTGCAATCAGAGACCATTAGAAAGGCCTAATCAAGCACAGATTTCAGGAAGGTGCACATTCACTTGGGTTGTGAGACTCATGTCCTTGGTCTGAAATAAATCAGTCATGGCTGGATATTGGGTCTTCTCTTTTTTTGGGTGATTTATTATGACTGTTGGCCTATTTGCTCTTCCAGAATTGGTTTCTTCCTCCAGCCTGAGACTTCATTAATCACATTTTTATGTAAAGGACATGTTCTCAGAAGGCTTAAAGTGTTTTGGCAAGTAGGTATGTTCCAACAAAATTCCAGTTTGCCAAAAAATCCCTCACATGAGTCAAATTAGATGGTGGCTCTTGGAGCCCAGAGCTAACTCATGAGTCGTGGGTGGAGAGGAAGCAGTATCATGATTCTCACTCCTACAACAGGTGGATCTGTAATTTGTTGTTGGCATACACCAACAGCAAATTAGTAAATCCTCTCTAACACACTCTCCCCAACGTCCCAGAAATAAGTCTGGGGAAATTTTTTTTCTAAGGCAGGTCTCTGAAGCAGAACGTCTCCAGGGACCATGCCCTGTATGTTATAATTTACTCATTACATTTTGCTCAGAGGTATTCCCAAAGACAAATATTATGGTTGAATTTATTGAAGAAGAATAAAAAAGGCACCTATTTATGCTCTGGGCAACTTTTACATAAGTTAATAATACAGTAAAAAATTATTCATTAGTCTCAATATAAATTTAGCCTTTCTGAACAGTGATGAATTCAAAATGCTTTTAAAATCCTCATTGTCCTCCCAGCTGGCTTTCACAACACCTCCTCCATCCTTAAACATAATTGGGATTTACAAGAAGGTCTAAGAGTCAATAGATTAGGCTGTTTTGAATCACTAGTAAAAAGGCAAAGAAAATCAAATGCTGAATACATACACTTTAGAGGTTCCTTCCTCTCAATTTTTTCTTGTTTTTCAGGTTTGTCTCTGTGAATTACTAGAAATAATAAAGAAAAACAAAAACAAAACACAGTAAATCTTTAATCTGGAGATATTATGTACACTTATTATTTCACCAAAGTTATCGAGGAAAAATATTTGTAAAATCAAATAACAGATTTCAGCTCTGAGCCACAGGTACTAGATGATGTATAGACCTTCTTAATGTCAATATTTAATTCCAAGTCCAAGAGAAATATTTTTTCTTGAATAAGTCTTCAGATGTTAGACTATTTTTGCAAAATAAGTGATTATTCAGCAAGCTAAATCTAATCTGTGGGATCTCTTTTGGTCCCATTACACACACTCAGACTCTAAGATTTCTAACAGAGGAAATTTCAGTCCTTGACAGCATTGCTTTCTATTCTTAACAAAAACCAGCTAGCATATTGCTTTCCATGTTCTTTTTTCTTTATTTTTAGCTGTTATTTCAGCCACGAGATGGATTAACAAGAAAACATCTCTTTTAATCAGCAGCTGTTCCAAACACAACCAACTACATGTCCTGCTAGAAACAGGCAAACACGAAAGGAAAGCTGGGGAGGGACTGTTTATCAGGGAGGGTAGTGACAGGACAAGGGGTAATGGGTTTAAGCCGAAGGAGGGTCGATTTAGATTAGATGTTAGGAAGAAATTCTTCCCTGTGAGAGTGGTGAGGCACTGGAACAGGTTGCCCAGAGAGGTTGTGGAGGCCTCATCCCTGGAAGTGTTTAAGGCCAGGTTGGATGGGGCTTTGGGCAACGTGGCCTAGTGGAGGGTGTCCCTGCCCATGGCAGGGGGGTTGGAACTAGATGGTCTTTGAGGTCCCTTCCAACCCAAACCATTCTGTGATTCTATGATTCTATTAATCCTTATGAACTCTATTGTCCACCCAACTTTCAGACCATATTTTTGGACATGGTTGTCTTCCACATCCTAATGATTAGGTAGACAAAAAGTTTCCTTGTCAACCTCTACTACTAAAAGATTTGCGATTTTAGTGAAAAAATATTTTCTTTGCAATACTTAAGTTTCTGTCATCAAGTAAACCACAGAAAATACAACTTTAATTAGAAGACAACTGTGAGCTTTATGCACAAGCATAGTAATGTTTTTGGACACATTCATTTCACCAGCTTTGCAGCAAATGTCATTTCACAGAGGTGCAAGCATTTTTTTGTTGGTTAAATATTTCCTCATTAAAAAATAGGTTCATGTCTTTAAGAAAAGTCATTCCAAACATTCAGTAATTTCATTATGTCTTGCATGTGTTTGCATAATCCAAATACATTTCCAGTCATAACAGGTAAATTATTGTTGATAACAATTAGCATCACAGTGGAAAGAGATTGAAGGGACATTTTTCAAAGCATTTAAGGAATGTGGACAGCCAATTTACACTAAAAAAAACAGGCTGTGAAGAATGCAGCAGCACCAGGGATGTTTTATTGAATGAACTACAGACTGTAACTCATTCAATTGCTTTAGGACATCTAGTAGTAAACCTCTCTCCCTATACTGTGTAGAACTTTTTGAATATTTTTGTAGAAACTGTAGCATGCTTTTACATCTTACATTTGTATTAGCAGGTGCTAGCTCTGTGCAAAATGCTTCGAGCCAGTGTGTTGTCAGTTTTGGACGGGGCAATAGCAGAGTTTTGCAAACAATAGCTCTGTGATGGTCAATGGCAGTGAAACACGAGCTTCTGCACATCAGACAAAAGCCCTGCTAGTCTCTATGCCAAAAAATATAGCTGAACTATGCAGAACAGACTGGCAATCAGAAAGCTTTTTTTTTTAGCCACAGAACATCTTATTTGTGTAAGAGAGACTGCTGTGGTTTTTTGGTGGTTGGTTGGTTGGTTTGTTTGTTTGTTTTAATTTTTTCTATTTTCTCCATAGCATTTCTCTATTTCATGCTTTGGAAAAAAACAAAATAAAACAAAACAAAAAACCACCACACCCCAAAAAACCAAGCCTTGAACAACACTAACTGAACTGAGTGTCAGCAGACCTCACAGTATACAGAAAAATCTAATTTAAGGTTCCTTCCTATAATCAAAATGATGTAAAGGGCTAAAATGCAAGTAAATATTAACATTTGTGTGGACTCCAAGCTAAAAACATGGAGAAGGGATCAGATGGCTCCTTCTTGAGAAATAAAAGTAACTTGATGTAACTGGGCAGGAAGCCTGGAATGTGGATAAGCAGAGACCAGGCTGGCATAAGCATAAACTATTTTTCTCTTCCCAATGATAGGCTGAAGATGATCTCTGGTTAGTTCAAGAGCTCTGTCTTGTGTGTTGATATCTCCATAGCCTCAGAGCTTGCTAATCTCAGATTGTAATGTTTACTATTACCTCTTATGGACACTGTCAGAGCTATGGCTTTTGGGTAGAACCTTATCCGGGAAGGGCAGGTGTTGTCAAAAATTAAAGGGTTCATGTTTCAGGGCTGTGATCACTGGCCATTTTTGACTGTTCAATCACAGTGCTAGCAGGGACAACAAAGTCCACTGAAGCTTTGTGTCTGACAAACTTAAATATGATTTTTCTTGTGCATATTAACTCTGTTTCCTCCCCCTGAAATGTTTTCAACTTCAGCTCTACACGTAGTCCTAAAAGCTCTGTCATAGAAAATACTTCACTGTCTACAGATCTTTTCCAGATTTAGTCACTTGGATATCTATTTCTTTGTAAAGGACTTAATACATGCCCTTTTTCAAGCCCACAATGCTTAGGTGCAAGCATTAGAGTTTAGAAATAAGCCAGGATGGCCATACTGCCATGTTTCTGTGAAACAAACTAGAGTTAATAAGATTTTTTTTTTTTCATATAAAAAACAAAGAGAAAGCACATGAAAATGTTTTTAAGGCTGTGAAGTCAAGCATTCTTCAGCCGAAAAATGCTGAAACTAAAACTGCTCATTCAATTTTAATTCAACCATTTTATTTACTTTATGACACACTTTGTAAATATATAAGCTAAAATTTTCCCACAACTTAAAGAAATTTTCTTGGACTTGCAAATACCAAAAAAACCCCATAAGCTCAGAATGAACTGTTATTAGCATGGGAAAAAATATAACACCCCAACCTAATTTTCACTAACCTAGATTTTGGAAATTGCTGAAATATTTTTATATGACTTTGAATGAAAATTTAGCCTCAGGCAAAAAGATGAGCTTGAAAAATTTCATCCTCAATGACTGGAGTGTGGTAAATTTATAAATGATCTCAACCAGAAGTTTATAATGGAAAACGTTAAGGTAATTTACCAATATATTCCAAACTTAATCATATGAGGGTATTGCTACCTACTTCACATAAAATTAAAAGAAGAAGCATAGCATATATGTGAGAGATTTTTCCAAATTTCAATCATCTAGTAGTGTATTTGATTTGCATCAAGTTGAAGACACAGTGAAGGGGGAAGTGATTTCGTTTTTCTTCATTAAAGTGTTTGAGACAGAGACATTCCACACCCCAAAAAAGCAAGTGCAAAAAAGAAGAGATGTAATAAGAAGACACTAATTCCATACCTAAGGGAAGTAAAAATAGTTTCCAGCTGAGTAAGTCTTAAGTCTGCTGCTTAGTATAAAGCTAGGTGATGAGTGCAATAAGCATGTAGCAGAGATTGCTTGCTCCAGCTAACTGACTAAGTGCTTGTCTACAGAGCAACACTCGGGAAAGTTAAGATAAATGAACTAATACAATGAAGTTAGAGTGCATTAGTCAGAGCGCATTCAATCTCTGTGTAGATGCTTTTATTCAGAAGTGAAGTAAGCTAGGATAGCTATAACTTAATTCTTCTTGAAGAAACACTCAACAAAAGAAAAAAAAAAAGGAAAGGACTTGATCCAGAGAGGGGCACAAGCTTCTGGGTCCAAACCAATAATCTAAGAAAATCCCAGCAATTAATGAATTGCAGAGGCACCTGCACTCATTGCAAACCACCTCAGTTACCTGTGATGGGGGAAGAGGCTTGCCTCTGAGTTTGCCCGGATCTTCCCAGCCAGCACCAGACACGCACATGCTGCTCACTGCAGCACCTAACCCTGTGTTGGATTTTAGCCCTCCAATACCACATGCAAATGCCTATATAAGAGCGAGACAATGTCTCACGCGTTACATGTTTGTACAATTTAAAATTAAACTGCAGCAGTCAGTGTTACATCCTTCTGAACTGAGATTCAGCTAAATAAATACTTGATAGCTGTGCCTGAGCCACTACAGCTACTTTGCTATCTGTACCATGTTACCTAGTTTAACATTAACGTAGGCACCTCTGGGTTATACCTCCAGAAATCAGAGTAGGCAGCCCCTGTGTTAAGCACAAATATGCCATTTAACTTGCTAACTTTGTTGAATTATGTAGGTTTCTAATATACTGTGGATTTGTATGGTCCAGCTCTATTTATCTAGTTAGCTGTCTCAACTACCCTGTCTCCCAGCTGCAAATTAAATTATGGGGATACGTTATATTTGTCTTTATAATCTCATAATTTATCCATACGTTAAAATACAGACATCTTTATTCTCTGATGTTTAATATTTGCATTATCAGTATGGCCCTATTAACAAGTCAATAGAGGTAGGAGGGACGGGCTAAGCACAGTAAATGAAATAGTTTTGAAGAGCCTAGGATCTATTTGTCAATTTGGGCTGCTTTCAGAGATACTTCCTGCAGAAAAGCAGAGAGGCTAGTGCTAATTCAGAGGCACGTGAGTATCTGTTCTAAATTCACTGTGATTCAGTGTATGGCTGTCAGAGGTAGCATTTCATCATCATATTATCTTCTTCCATCCCTCACTCCAACAGCAACGTATCAGTGAAGTGTATTTGGAAAAAGCCACACAGTAGATCAATCTTTTCCCATGCCTTCCCAATGTCTGTTGAAATAAGGGATATTTTCCAGAAATGCAGGTCAATTCATTTCACTGGTAATATCAGTTTTCCATAAAAATCAGAAAGGACCTTATCAGTCCATTTGGATTACCATTGGGCTTTCCACTAGACAGAAATTATATACTTATATCTGCTTTTATTTCAATATATTTTATTATTGTTCTTCCCCGTTGCCAAAGTACTGCATAGTTACCTCTTATTCATTAATAGTAATAACAATTATAACACATGCTTCTTCAAGTGTACGTCACCACGTGACAGACTCACGGGACAACTGCCCCAGGCTGTGCCAGCCCCATCCCTCAGCCTCTCCCCCCCAACTGGGACCATTGCAGTGGTCCCCCACGGGAGTCCCCCCAGGGCTTTCCTGAACTGGGAAGCCCAGAACTGGAGGCAGTATCTAGATGTGGTCTCACGAGAGCCGAGTACAGGGGAAAAATTTATCCCTTACCTCCACTGACTGGCTGAGCTCCTGCTCGTACAGTCCAGGGTGCCGTTGGCCCTTGCGCAAGTGCTGCAACATCAAATACCAAATTGGAAAGACCCTATTTTGTAGTGAATTTGTGTTTATGTGTACACATAATCATGAAATAATTTAATTTCAGTGCTCTAAAGCATGAGTAAATGCTTTGTTGGATCATTTCTCAGAGTATTTCTTCTTTTCAGGCTTAAATTGACTAAGTACAATAATTGAAATGGACTTTATTACTAGTAGTTTATCAAAATATTTAATTAAAAGCAAATTTTAGGGCACAAGTTTGCCTAGCTCTTAATAGTGTAAGAATCTTATAAATTCAGCTACTTCCATCTGGGATTTCCATTCATTGTATCTGTTCCTGATATTTTGATACAATCTTTTCAAAATGAGACTTACGGATGGAACTCCCTTGTAAATCTTTGGACTTGTATTCAGGGGGTTTGACTACTCAAAAATGTACTTAACGTTATTTTTAAAACTCTAGCATTCTCATATTTTTGGGTTGAGGACTGAAATTTGTTTGGAATGTTTACTTTTATTATAAACACTCATTTTACTTCTAGATTTTTCCTATTAAAAACAATACATGCTTCCTGGAGGTACTTTAGAAGGTAACAGTAAAACTCCCTAAAGATTCCTGCCTTTGTCATACTCTAGCTTGAGGCGAGACAGAATGTTTTCTTGTAATTGTTCCTCCTATGTACAAGATGCACTTTTGGGACTAAATATGAAAATGAAAAATAGAAAAAAAAATATTTGTCCTGTGCTTCAGTAATTGATTGTATAATTAAAGACTGCACTATCAGGCATATGCATAAAGGCATTTAACTAATGACACATGAATGCTTTTTTCCTCGCATCTTATAACTTCTCAGTAATCATTGTATTCTTCTATGTAAAGCAGTCCACTTCTGTATAGGTGAAATGGTACAGACGAGGCTCTCTTGGTCAAGGCTGCAACTTCATTTGTGTTTGTAGCGTACTGTGCTTGAAAAGACCTTAACAGGGATCCCTTGCTAATGGATCTGAGTTCATTATTGCCTGGTTAGCCCACTGATACCCTAAAAAATTCATTTTCATACATGATTTATTAAGTACTTGGGAAGCAGTTCTAGGCGCTCCAGATGACCCTGATTAGCACAGAACTGGAAAGCTAGCATAGAGGTGTAAAATGCTATAAAAATAAATAAAGAATATACAACAAAATGAATACGGTTCTGTGAGGGAAGGTGTATGTATATACACACTATTTTTAATAAGCTTTCTTCTTGCTTCCTCTGGCCATTACTAAGCACAGCACTGGCGCATCAGAGAGATGCTCATCAAATTTTATGTGGCCAAGCCTTTAGAGAGGAGGTTTTCTTAGGCAAAAAATCTGCACGTATCCCAGGAATCTTCTTCGTTTACGTGACCTCTGTAAACCAGTCGAAACCAGTTCCTCTGGGATTTTTGGAAAGTGCCAGTTAGAGGAGATTTAACTCTCTGAAAAAGAGTAGGTTCTTAAAATGGAGGCTTCTCTTATCTCTGGTACACACCTGGCTCACTGTTAACTACGACTTCCTAACTTGGATGGCACCCGCTGGCCCATAAATTTGCTTTCTTCCTTGCCCAGCACACTTCATGCCTTTTGCACCAGAGGAAGTTCATCAGCACTCTACTTTCTTGCACTTTTGCTACAAAAAAGATTCCTCGATAAGTTTGGGCAGGAAAATCTTATTATGAATGTGCATTTTGCGATATAGCCACACAAACATAAAGTGACCGTATTTGTTAATGCTAAGGTATACAGGAAATTTTGATCATTTACAGTCTGTGCCAACTGATCTTTGAATGATTCTGAAATACAACAGTGGTAACATATGTAGTTAACAAATACGCTGTATGTTACATACATATATGCAGGTAAATAGGCAAAAAACAAAGTTACCCTTTGGTGGTGTTCGTTTTTCATGTCTCTCCAGTTTCTCTTTATGAATTTCTGAAAACAATGCAATGTAGAGCTATCAATATTAAAATAATTTTCACACACAAAAATATCACATGCATTCTTGTAATAAAAAATAACAAATATTATAGCAGATCTATGACTTTATCATCTGCATATTCAGAATTACATACAATAAAGTTCAATTTTTTATATATACATACACTATATATATGGACAAAAATCATTACAGTAATTATTCTGCTTCTAATTGAGCAATACAGCCACTTTTAACGTCAAGAATGGGTTTTGCTGGTCTCTAACAGCTATACAGTAACACATATTGGTCATGAATCAGAAAAAAACATGCTTTTACTAAACATTTTAGTGTATGTATCTTGAGTGTTTTATCAGCATTAGTACTTTATGTTTACCAAATTACCTTTGGAAGGAAAAATGGTTTTTTTACTACATTTTATACAATTTTGTAAAGCTCAAATGTTCAATTTGTATGAGCACACACACACAATAAAAGGTAGACTTAATGCAGTATACAAATTACAGAGATAAAAGCTCCCAGATTAGGGATGGTTGTCTTGGAGAATGACTCATTTTAATCATGTTGTATACCAACACACTGAGAACTGCCTTGTTAGAAGAGGAATCGGTACAGTATTTACTTACCCTTGCTATACCATCTCTTTCGAACAAAATTCCTCACCTGTGACACTGATATTAAATTACTACTACATACCTCTGTAACTGATTTTTTTTCTTATTGTGCCAAACCCAGGACAATAGAAAAATTAAATCAAGCTTGCATAGCACTGTTTGCACACGATGGTAGAAATTTAAAGACCATTAATTATAGGTGCACAATAAAGTCATTAAGACTGTACAGAGTGTCTGGTTTATGGTATTGTGCATTTATTTCCTGCAGTAGGAAACTGGTATAAAATACTGGATGAAATTCATCTTTGACAAAAGCACATGCGAATCTCATTGGACTCTATGGGAGGTGCCTCCTTGTATTTTAGGGTTAGATTTGATCTGAATAGTCTACATAGCAAGAACACTGACCTCAAAATTAATCCAACAGAGAGAAAGTTATGCATATTACATCTCAACTCTAAGGAGGTACTTTAATGCCTACTGAAGACAACTGAAATCTTCCACTTACACCCTTAGTTATTTGCTCAGATTGTAACAGGATACACATTGCCAAAGGGATACAGTAGGAATGTAGTTTTCCGTTCCTAAGACTCTGATCTTTGCATAGGTCCTTGAAAATAAATAGAAAATGTTTTTATTGGATAATATTTGCCATCTGAAATAATGATTGTGTCTGGTTTGCAAGAAACGTTATTATATGGCATGAGCCTATGATGTCTTCAGATAGAGAGAACATTCCTTCATGGAGATAAAGGGTAACAAAGGCCAAAATACGTATCACTGTTAGCCATTTATGTATGATAGAATAGCTACGCTAATTATACGGTGTGATTAAGCTAAAAGGACTTTCTATTCAGTTTTCATCTTGTTCTTTGCAGCCTGGGTGTGTAGTTCATTTATTGTTCTATAAACCTCAAAGGTTGCGATTAGGAAGAAATCATGCCATATTGATTTACTGTATTTCAGCTGAGCCTGGATTATTTTTCTTTTTGCAACTATGTGAGAATTTTTTATGTTTTTTTTATCAACTGAGAGAATCTAGTTGCCGGATTTTCAAACTTCTCACACCTGTTCTGCTTAAAAGGATGCATAAACTAGTTTAGGTACCATAAGTGGTAAGAATGGTGCAAGACAAGAACAGCTGGAGAACTGGTCCCTGATTCTGAGCACATCTGAGCAGTTCTCCACATCACTGCTCCAGACTGCCTCCAGACCCTGACTTATTGCATTTAAAGAAAGCTGTTACTTGCTCTGCATTGCAACATACAGCCGAGACATATCTCGCCCAGTTCAAGAGGTCATTCTACACATGGACATGAATATGGCCCACTAAGTGGTAAATCACATTCTTCGGGCAGAGTCATCTACACGGACACATATTCCTTTCTTGCCTTAAGATGCCTCAGCTCTGCTGGGTTCCCACCACCTGTTATGTGTGTTGCTACAGAAAATAGGCCTCCTCTTCTTGAAAAAATAAGTATAAATCTTTGTTATTGCAGAAAAAAGTTTTTTAAAATTACTGTGGTTTTAGGGAATTTCTTATTGCTAGTTTGACTGCAACATATATACAGAGCAATGACTGTAGAGCTGGCCATCTAAATCAGCCTCACATTGTATCAGCAGTGAAGATTTCTTGACACAAATACTTCAGTAAGGTACACCAAAACATATTTTCTAGACAGCAGCACTGAGAATCTCATCTAACTTGCTGCTACAATTAGGATACCACACATCACAAAAAACCCTACACAATTCCATGGTGTGAAATGCATCTTCATAATACATAAGTGTGTGTATATATGTTTTCATATGTTGCAAAATGTGCCATCGTTAAGATCTCTTCACAAGCTCCCCATTATAGTTTGAGCCATCATAAAAAAATGCAGCCTGGAACACATCAATTCTGATATATTATAACCTAAATTTTCCCAGCACAAATAAATCTAATCTCAATATATGCTGATCTTCGTCAATTTACAAGGCAGAAAATAGTCACTCTTTGCCAACTCCAAAATATTTAAAATAAGGAAAGTCATTAGATTACTGGAGATTTTTTTTCTGTTCTGAGAGTTTTGATATCCTCTGCTTTATCTTTTATGACAAATAGCTTTAATTTTCTAGTAAACACATCATATCTTATTGCTGAGTTGACAAAGTGGCTATAATATCATAGAAGGCTTAAATGGCCAGTTTAAAGCATGTAATTTATCTCTATCAATGTGACACATTGTTAATAAATCCTAAATATTATGAATTCATGTTTAGAAAAATGACAGAATCGAGCAGCAGCAAGGATAATCTTTGTCACCACGGCAACCATTCCGATTCTTTATGAGATGACAGCACTGTTTATTAAATTATTGTAAGCGAGTACGTATTTTAAAAGCTGTATTTCATTGTTTGTTTTCTTCGGTTATCAAGCATACATGAAAAATTATCTTTCCTCTTGCGTTTCTTGGGTTTTGAATGGATAAGTACTTTATTTCCTTAAATATGGATACTGTTTGACACCGGCTTCTCTAGACCTCAGGTCTTGTGCAGATATACAGAACATGCAGGGTGATTATTTTAAATAACTCCAAGAAGGGAAGCTAGTAGTCTTCTTACTGACCATTTCGAGAAGCTGAAAGAAGATATATTCGACTGTATTTTTAGCAGGCTGATATATTTATGTGCTGTTGAGCTAAAGCAGGCCCTCACAATCAGCTGAGGATCAGTATTGCAGGTGGCTTTACTGAAAATCCCGGCTGAACACACAGTTTGGGTGCTAGCTTCCCCCACCCCTCACCCAGCCAATTTTGATTAACACTAGTTCACAGTATCTAACAACAGCCTGGCACTGGGTATGCACTATAAAGCCCCAGCTCTGGGAAGATCAGAGCGGGAGAAAGAGAAAAAAAATGACAGTCCCCTGAACCTGTGTGAGCTAGCGGTGCAGCGCTGTGCAGGTTTACATCAGCGTGACTGAAGAGCATCGCCTCTGACGGCAGGGCACAAGGAGATTCTCCTGGTTCCGGCAACAGAGTTCCCTTCTTCGTCCGCTCTTGTGTTTCTGATTTTGATTTTTTGTTATCTCCTTGTTTAATATAATAAAATATATAGCATTATTCTTAGCTATTTTAACTATATGGCATTGTGATAGCACCTATGGGCCTCAGCTTTCATGAATTGCTTTAGGTTCCACATGGAGTTTTAACATGATATAATATCCCATCTCTGTAACACAGGAGTTCAAACTAACTGGGCTACATTTCTTCTCTTAGTGGAAAAGCACAGCCCTGCGTCTTGCTTCATTGGGGGATGAAGTGGTGACTAACAACCTGGCTTTGCTAAAACAACTCCTAGACCCCATCCTCTGCTGAGTTTCCATCTTGCAGCTGAAATGTACCTAAAAGAACCCCAAACAATCAAATACAAAATGTCAATGACATGAGAGCCAAAGTGAGGAAAAAAATGGGATTATTGTCCCCATCTAAACCCACAAGAATGCTTTACCCAGGGTAGCCCAGAATATCAGCAAAAGAACTGGGAATTTAACTCTGATCCCTGACATTGAATATTATCTCCTCATGCTTAAAGCCATCATGTTTCTACTTAAATGTTGTAGTGAGGATGGAAAGTAGGTTGAATGTATCTACTGTTTTAAAGGTATAATTGAACAGATGGAATTTCACTTGAAATGATAATACATTGTTCTTTCTAGGTAAATTTTACCAATTGGCGATCTTTTTCATAATCTGTCACAGGTAACACAGCAATATATGCCTTTACTGCTTTGACATTCTTTCCCTTTATAAATATCTAAGTGTGAAAAGGAAAATGAGTCCTTTGCAGAGTCCTGGTGAACCAGAGGTTAATAATTTGCTTTTGAGCAGTCAAAACCCTTACAGCTATTGCCAGCAATTTAATGGGGCTATATCCCTGCTAGTTTATCAAGACTAATTGGTAGCAGGCAGCTGATTATCCTGAAGAGTTGGTGGAAATAGATACTGAGGGCAAGGCAAGAGTGAGTGGTGTTAAGAGCTTTAGAAGATGAGAGGGATGTCATTTCTAATGTGTTTCTCGATGCTGTCTGTATGAAGAATTGTAGTCTACTCTCTTGCTGCTGGTATCCTCAGGAGAAATTTGCAGTTGTGCAGCTGATGTCTATTTTTAATCTAGATAGTACCAGCTGGTGAGGGTGACAGTTATCCTTGTGGGGCTAAGAGGAGAATAAAGGAATTTGTGCATTAGGGCAACTTCCAGCTAACTACTAATACATCATATAGCTGTACTCTAGAGGCTGGGGGGGGGGGGGGGGGGGGAAGCAACAGGAAAAAAACATGAAAAAAAAGAACAGGAAATATTTAATTAGGTAATTCAATTGGCATGTTATGCCTATA